GGAATGACAAGACACATGCATGCCAAAACAAAGGTGTGTACACGAAGAACTCTGCTAACGCTGAACATTATGGGTCTGTAACTGCTTCGCGTAAGAAAAAGATACAATGGCACGATAACACCAAGAGTATTACTCCTCCACACAGCTTCCTTGCTACCAAATAATGACTCTGCACAAATGTAAACAAGAACTTTCAAACATGAATAAATGCCTACCATGCAAAAGAGTCAAGACCTTTTCTCTCCCAGATTTATAATTTTATGAATTGACCTAACTCCATAACAGATGGGTTATTACTCTATTAAGGAACACAAGGTTATTACACTAATAAGGAACATAAATCAATCCAGCTATATAATTTTTAAAAAAAATTAGCGAGAACTGGCTTATTTTTTTTCCAAACAAAATTTTGTTTAGAGACTCATTTAAGCAATTTTAAAGAAGGAACAATAAGCACACAAATTAAGAACAGAAAATAGTTTTTATAATTTGGCCAAACTGACTACTTCTGCTAGCATCAGCAGTGAAGGTTAGAGACCACCTGGGGCCAAAATAAGAATTAACACCCTGTTTTATGTAGGGCCAGAAAGCTGCCTTACCTGAGGATAGGGCTCCCCAGCCTTGGGGAAGAATCCTCTCCAGTATTCTCACTATATACACATCTATACATGCCTATACACTTCACCCAGATTCTTACTGTCTTTTAGCCTAAGCAGCTTGATAGCCCTGAAATCCTCCATGTGATTTTTGATCCAAGGCTTGTCATGGCAGGGACTTTCCTTTCTGACCTCTTTTTTTTAGATTCTGGGTCCATTCATTCTATAGGAAGAGATTTCCAAATCCAAGATAACTCAGGTTTTTATAATCCTCCAATATTCCCACGGATCTGTCCCTTTCCCCCAGCTCCTCCTGGACATAACAAATTACTGGAGGGTTTACAAAGAACGTCCTGACATTTACCCTGCATTCCCAATAGCACTCTTGTGCACTTTGTAAACAAA